GGCGTGTCTATAAATGGGAATTGGAAAGGGGGGTTCACTTTGGAGATTTCCTTGAGGGAGATATTAGAAAACCATTTCGAAAGGTGAAAAATTATTAGAACAGGTTTTTTAGATTCAAGGTTTTTGGGGTTGCAATGGTAAAAGTTTATTGGAAGAGCTTCAAAAGTATAGGAAACGTTAATGGTTGGAGGGGTCAAATTATTCCCCCTTTTTCAATAATAGTTTTTGGAAGAAGCCGAAGCCTTTTGGAGGGTCCTGAGAAGATGAAAATGACTTGACTAGTTTTTTTTCTAATGGCAATAATTTTGATATGGATACTGAAGAGGACGGAAAACTTTTGCCCCATTTAAAAAAGAAGGGAGTAAAGAGGGCCATGGTCCTGTAACTGGAGATTCTTTGAATTATGAAGAGGTTTCTTTTTAATGACAATGAAGTTCACTTTTAATAAACACTTTTCAAACTAAATAAAAAGAGTGATTTGTATTTAATATAATTAAATTATATAAAAAAATAATGCCTCTTTGATTAAATATTCCAGACTATCGTAATATAAATATATTAACTTTAGAGTGCCCGTGTTTTAGTGATCAATAGACAGCAGCAATCTTAAGTATGTTGTACATATATAAAATGGATCGCATCACGTGCCTTACCATTGAATATAAAAAATTAACGCGATGACCTTAAAGACTTCTCGATATAAAAGTTTTACTACAGTTATTCTATCAAACTATTCAGTTGCTCATTGGTAAGTTTATAAACCTCTATCCTTTATGATCTGGAATAGCTAGGTTAGTACTTTTCAGATATGTCGATTACTATGTGTAAAAAGAGATTCAATGATTGGAGATATTTTAAATTAGAAATGTATGTAGAAACAAACGTTTTATTACACCACTTGTGCAATCGGACTAACAGATAATAATCAAGTAGAACTTCTAACGATAAAGAATTTGATGAATCTATCAAGGTTGACAATATCACTTGGAGACAATGCATAAATAATGCCTTAAGAAGATCTCATGGAATATTTGGCGAAAGCATAGAGTATGAGCTATTGAATTGTAATGATAAAATAAGCTACTTTAGGGTAGGAAATAGAGATAAGGACAAATTCTCATTAGCAATATCAAGTTATATATCATCCGAGGAGTTATTGGGAAAGCCATTGATATTACATGTATTAGAAGAGGATTCAAGTTTACTGAAATTATCTCATTCTGAGGACGATAATTTGTGGATAAGAAGAGAAGTTGAGGAACAAGAAGCAACTTGTGATTAGAATATTCAGTTAAATTTAAGTTTACAAGGTTACAGGGTATTCGTTATTAATAAGTATTTATAGACGTTAAATTACAGTGACGTTCCTTTGTTTTAAGAAACCCATTGGAAAAAACCACATGAACCAGCTTTATTACCAGAGTCTCCATTAGGCTTTTCACAAGACCAAAACCTTCTACCATAATTAGTTGGAGTTTTTGAAGTCTTCAAAATAGCCTCTATTCCATGCTTACATAGTGGCGCTTTTGGGAGCCTGTCGTTAAAAAAACTCAGTTTTGTCTGACTTGTCGAAACTTTTTTGACATTCCTTTCACTAATACAATCTCCAGTTTGTTTAATATTTGTACCTTTAATTAAAAGTTCATCATGTACTTCTGAAGTAGTTGATCCCTTTACCATCCGTGAGGAAGTAGATTTCTTAAAGGTGGAGGAAGATCCAGCTGAACCATCCTCCGGGTCATTACTTGGTAGCTGCCTTTTTCTGTTTTGTGATCCAAACATATCTAAAATGTTCTTGTGATTTAGATCATATTTAAATTTTGCTTCAAATCTTGGGACCTTAACTTGGTCATAATCGTTTCCTTTAGTAAAAAAATTTGAATCAATATCCAAATATACAGGACAATGATCTGATCCCATTACATCGGGAAGTATATCTGCCTGTAAAATATAGTCTTGAAGTTCTTTTGATAATAATATGAAGTCTATTCTTGATCCATAATTTACGGGTCTTGTATTTTTTAAGGTATTCCATACAGTATACATTTTTAAACGTTTCTTTGTTTGCACATATCTTGTTGTGTCTACTAAGATCCCATCTTGTGAAATTCCTGGTATAATCGAGTCTGTCAACATCTGATTTAACATTCTTCGCTGTGGAGCTTCTGGATTCATGACAAACTCGTAGGCTAATTGCGAATATTTTTCTTCAATATCTTCACCTGTGGTTGTACTAGTGATTTGAATCATATTTGCCTCCAATGCCTCAGCTTGGTCTATTAAATCTCTACAACTATTAATATCACCCATTAAAACAATATTTTTCCCCAAAGCCTTAAGGTTTCTAATTCTTTTATACAGTACCTTTAGATATTTTAACCTGAACAATTGCCCATCATCAGTCTGACCAGAGTTAGCTGGACAGTAGACATTGAATACAACTATATTACATGCCAACTCCACAACAACACATCTCCCTTCAGAATCTAAGGTCAGGGCTTCATCATCGTTTGTCTCATCTAAACCCAATGATTCATATCCGCCAATTCCTTGAGAAGTATCATCTTTATATCTAACTTCTTTCCCACCTACTTTAACTGTCAAATAACCAGTGATACCTTCTTCAGCTTTAACTACTTTAAGGGCCTCATACAGTGGATGATCTTTCTCTGGTTTCCTTACCCAACATCCAACGCCTGAATAACCTTTCTTATTAGACGGAATTGAAATAAATGAATAAAAGTCATCAACTTTCCCCCATTTAGAGATTCCATACTTTTCAGTCTTCAATTCTTGAAATGTAATCACATCTGCATCAAAGTATTCAAAAGATGCCTTTAAACTTTGATTCATTTGAGAAAATGGTTGATAATGGAATAAAGTTCTAACCCCATTCACATTAAAGCTAACAAATCTTATGGCATCGGACCCTTGTTTCCTATCAACTACTGATATTCCTGACATATACAATGACTCTTACCGGCAATCAACCTTTATTTATCTTTAAATGGTATTCTAAATTACCTCAATGGGTTAAGAAAGTGTTATATTTTTATTTAACTTAGCACTTTATAACTAACAAAGCTTAAAAAAAATATACACGCTTGGCTTATTGATAGATATACCGATTGGATTTTTTTTCATTTTAGTAAAATATGAAATGTTTATCAGTTTTAACTATATATTAATACATATTTCGAACTCTTATCTAACGTAGAGTATCAATCTAAACTTGTTTTGATTCTGTAGTCTTTTCTTTGCTTAAAAATTGTTTGATGGCATTTCTTTCCTTATATAAGATTAAAATTAACAATGCACTGGCAAATGCGATATTCAGAAATAATTGTTTGAATGTTTTGACATAACCGATGAACCACCAGTTTAGACCACTTATACAGAGGCCTGTAAACATCACTGCAATCAAATTTTGGAAATTAATGAGGAAAGAAGATTCATTATACAATTCTTTGTAAAATTTATGAATAAACCACCCACAGTATGAGATACGCAATGACATATTAATGATATTACTTATTATCAGACCTGAGACTGAAAGATCAAGGTATTCGATAAATATCCAGCAGTTTAACAAAAATACACCTGAAAAGAACATCATTAAATAAGAGAACCTTAAAATTTGATCACCTGAGGCAACACTCTGGAAGAAGGCTTCAAATATACCATTGATTGATAAAAATGGTAAATAAAAACAGTAGACTCTTATGGTGTCCATGACAGTAACTGTGGACCATTTTAGACCAATAATAAATTGTAGTAGAAATGATGAGTTGACGGGACCAAAAATAATAATCAATAGTGACAGATATAAATAAAATCTGGTCAGGTTCACTAGAACCTCCATAGATAATCTTAAATTTTTAGAATTGCGAGTATTTGATAATAATCTTGCCAAGAATAAACGCAACGCTTCTTCAATGGGAGCAAAAACCATTCTTGTTACCAAGGAACCATAATTGGATAATAAAGAATAAATACCTTGTTCCTCGACAGTACATAATGAATTTATAATCAATTTATCACCTTCTGTCAACAAATGTTTAAAACACATTTGGAAGTAAACTTTTTTAAAATGTTCCAAGATATCAGTTTGGAAATAATACGATTGTTGTTTGGAACCAGGAATACTGATTTTTGTTAATCTTAATTTGAACATATTCTTTGGCGCGAATTCCCTCATATAATGGTAAGAATAACATAAGAGTAACGTTATCGAATGAGCCAATTTCCCCAATGAAAACGCCAAGATAGCAATACCTTCCTTGCTAACCTCTAAATCGTCGGTATCCAGCGAGTACCATTTTTTTTCAAAAGCATATACGACAGTAAAGTTAATGACACAACCCATTGTAACAGCGATACCTTCGAATCTCGATCTAAGACCATAGTTCAACATAAATTGATTAACGACAAAAAAGGGTTCGCTCAATAGCTCAATAATGATACTTATCCAAATTAAAAAGATTGACAATTGGAAGTGTGGTAGTGAAATGAAATATGCATTTACATTTGTGTATTGCCAAGTAATCAATACGATCGAAAGAGGAATACCGATCCAAATTGGAATATGAGCGAAGTTTACTGCAGTTTGCAAAACAATGGTTTTTTCATTACTTACGCTTATACTCGAATCTGAAGTATTCTCTTTAATTCTTAAAGTAGATAGTCTAATGGCTTCCCTACTAAAGAACAAGATGGTCCCCAAAATAAACTCTAAGAACGCAATTATACCAAAGATTCTTGGTGACAAAAATCGTACTAATAAACTGTTTAAGAAAAAAGTTACCAGCTTTGTGAAGAATTGGCCCATCATCAAGAATGTAGCACCCTTAGCAGATTTCTCCAATATCTGTTCACTAGTGGTCAATGTAACTTTCTCCTTTTTCTCCATCGTTATGATATATTTATTTTATTTTATTCTATTTTTTTTAATTTATTTTCCAAATTGATAATGCTATATGTATATATCCCAACTGCAAATTATATGATAAAAACCTCCTATATCAACTTCAATAGTCCCTATTGGTATGGCTTCACTTAAACCCAAAAGCTATCCTAAAACTGTCCCTTTTTGCCAAACTCTTCAAAATAAAAAAAAAAATAATTGCTTAATCAAACAATAAAATTAGCAAACAAAAAACCCTAATAACAGCAAACCGTCTCTAGCGCATAAATTGAAACCTGAATAATACCGTCGTACCTTCAAGATACCCTCTCAATCCACCATAACCATACAATTAATCAAAAACTATTATGTGATATCTATAACATCTTCTTATATCAAAACTTTTCAAATTTTAAAGGCTTTCTCTCTTTCTAAAGCAAACTGGATAAAAAAAAAATTGAAATATCAACATTTAGTTAAACCTGGATGGTATCATTGGAAGTGAAAGGGAACGGGTTATTGGGGGCATATATATGTGTATACCAGTGGTAATTTTTAATAAGATATAAAGATTTTTCAGCTTTGTTTAACGGTTCATTTGAATAGGAAACTAACGTTTTGTACCCTTTAAAGCCAATTCTCCGATTTAAGCAATGAATAGCAGTCACCAAGAAAAGTATATATCTGAATTGAGGGAACAAGACAGATGGCTGCCAATCAATAATGTTTCCAAGTTGATGAAAAATGCAGTGCCTACAAACGTCAAGATTTCGAAAGATGCAAAAGAATGCATGCAAGAATGTGTCAGTGAATTCATTTCCTTTATAACCAGCGAATCCAGTGATAAATGCATAGCCGATAAGAGAAAGACCATAAATGGAGAAGATATACTAGTATCGTTATATTCCCTAGGATTCGAGAATTATGCAGAAGTGCTTAAAATTTACCTTGCTAAATATCGATTATATTTAGCAAGCAAAGCACAAGAGATGGAGGAAGACAGTTGATCACAACTAACAAGCCCAACTATATACATATAAATACATAAACATATTATTACGCGACAACAACAGTCTAGTCATCTTCTGGTAAAGATGATTCCTCCTTCTCTCCAGTTTATTATTAATTCTTTTTGTTTTTTCCATATCATAGAAACAGTTTATAACTTGTAAATAGTGTTTCACAGAAATATTTGTTCTTAGTTAAATAAAATAGTTATATCTTCCAACCTTCTGATCACTGTGGATCACCCAACAATCCATTTAATCAACCAGTTAACCTTTCCCAACCTGGTTGACCCATCCATTCTTTGCCTTGGGAACAGCTTCGATTCGGGATCTTTAATGATCTTTCTCTTTCTGTCTGGGCCTAAAAGAAAGAAAAAATTTTGGTATATAAAGGAAGCAATTGTAGTTGATGGTACTTAAAGGGTTTTTTTGCCACCGATCTATAAGAGTGGCAGGATTTCAATTGGAAAGGGTATAAGTCAGAGTTCCAGACTCTTTTAGAGGTTATAATTGTATAATAATATTATTGTTAGAGTTTGTTCGTCCCCCCCACCCCATCTACTCCGATTTTAGGTTTTGTTATAGTGCATAATTTTGGTTTATACAAAGGGAATTTGAGTTTGAAATTGGAATCTCTTTTGGATCTGGTTAAGCTGGTTTAGAAATTAGATACACCTATAAGGTTTGTTTGAAGACAGTTTGAGAGTTGAGTCCCGTTAGGCTTTTTATTATTTTTCATTTTGTGCGTTTATCTTTTCACTGGTGGGCAATAAGAATTAATTAATTAATAATAGGACAATGATCAGGTGTAGAAATAGTGTAGTTAGGAAAGTGCTCAAGGGCAAGTTGTTTTGTAGTGGACAATGTTTACAGAATAGATTGGGCTTGAGATATGCTAGCTCGGTGGATGTGTCATCCATGGAAAGGCATCCAAGTTTGTCAATGGGTGAAGAACACCATTGGAAAATGTATAAAGAACAATTGAAGGATGTTACTTTGCAACAGAGGTTGAAGTCGTTGGAGGATCAATGGTTTGAACAAAAACTGTTTGCGGATAAATCAGAAAACGATAATGAAGGTTCCGGACTAGATCTACCAAAGGACAAATCTGGGAAGAAAAACGTTCCTAAGAGGAAAGATGATACCTCCAAGAGTATACCTGAAGACCAACAGAAACAGAAAAAAAAAGTTCCAACAGAAGAAGAGAATAATACTACTACTACTGAGATAAATGAAAGTACAACTGAAAATATCACAAGCGAAAAAGTATCAGCATCAAACCCTACATCTTCAGTACCACCATCAAATTCAAATGGCGATGGCGATGGCAACGGTAATAATGATGGCGGGAATGGGAAAAATCAACAAAAAAAGCTAATTACAGTTCCTAAAATTTATCCACAAATGTTAGGTTTACCCTTATCAAGACGTCCTTTATTCCCTGGATTTTATAAAGCTGTAGTGATTTCAGATGAAAGAGTCATGAATGCAATTAAGGAAATGTATGACCGTCAAAAGCCATATTTTGCAGCATTCATGTTAAAAGATTCTAATATGGAAACCGATATTATCGAAAACGTAAAAGATGTTTATGAAACTGGTGTTTTTGCCCAAGTCACTTCTATATTCCCAAGTACAGATGAAAAAACGGGTGCTACTGTAATGACCGCATTAGTTTATCCTCATAGAAGAATTAAAATTGACGAATTAATACCTCCAGTACATCCTAAGGTACAAGATACTCAAGCGGATGAAAAAACTGACTCGAAATTATCATCCAAGACTCCCGAGGATTCATCAGTTGAAACTTCTATTGTAGATGAAATTGATGTCATTGACAATGAAGGTATTGTCAGCAAAACTTCAGAAGAATTAATAGAAGAGGAAGAAGAAGAAGATGAATCAAACCCTACAAATTTCTTGAAAAAGTTTGATGTTTCATTGGTTAATGTGTCAAATTTAGAAGATGAACCATTTGATAGAAAATCT